AGGGTTTGATTCATATAAAAAAGCCTAGCTGCAGCTACTAGTTTAACCCAGTTTAAGCTGGGCGGTTTTGCTATGGCGGCTACTAAGTAGCGTGAGAGGAGGAGGAGGAGGAGGTAAGTGACGGGTGGGTTGGATGGGTGGGGTGGCGAAAAATTGAAACCGAGGCGCGCATTTGACGCGCGCGCCTCGGCGGTCAAGAATCGAGAAATTGGGGGGCGAAAAAAAATAGAGTTGACTTGGCGAGAAAAAAAATTTCTCGCCAAGGAATGACTCGCCCGCTGAAAACTGCGACTGCGGTTCAGTGCGGTGACGCGACGAATATCGCGAAATGCTCCGTGAGATACGCGGAAAAAAGCCTATTTAAGTCTATTCTTTCCCTTTCAAGCTAGGAACTCACACTATAGCTGCTGAAAAAACACTAGCAAATGCATTTCGGCCATGACATGGCCATCATCAGTGCTCACAGCAGCTAGAGTGGCGAGACCTAACCTAAGTAGGAAAGAGAGGGTTGGGAAAGAAAGTCCCATCCCCTTTAGTAGCACCCACAGAAATTTCTACAGCACCAAACACTAGTCTAAATATTATAAAAATGATATAACCATCTAAATAATTATTCAGGTAGTCGTTTGGCGCTGCTGGGAAATAAAAAAATTCCTCTGTTCCTGTGGCGTGTTCTTGGGGAGCTGGGTCCTACGTGGCGCTGCAGAGTGACGGGTGAGGCGAACGACGGAAAAATACACTAGGCAGGGGAGAAACAGGAGGGGAACGCAGGGTGAAAATAGCTGTGCATGGGTACTAATTATTTTTTTACGAAGGCAAAACCCACCCAGGCAATAGGCACACAGTGAGGCAGCTGTCGTGACAGTGCAGTTCCGTGGCATGCTTGCGCGTGCGTTTGAGCGAGTTCTGTGCGTGCTGTGTTGCGTTGCTCAAGCGTGCAGTGATCGTTGTGCTAGACATGTGCGTCGATGCGTGCGCAATGGCTTGGTAGCCATGCTGCCGCGTGCGCGAGGTGCGTGCAATGAGTGGTTGCGTGTGACGCGATGTAGTGTAGGTGCTCAGGTCGATGCATGGATGAAGAGTGATGCGGGGAGGTGGGGGAGGGGTGAATAGACAGTGTGGAGTGGTGCACGGGAGGATAAAAGAGGGCGGGGGGAGAGTGGGTGAGAGGTATGAGTAGGTGAGTCGTCGTAGATCTCTTGGTGAGGCTGAGGGGGGAGAGGGGGGGACACGAGTTACGGGAGGGAGGGAGGTGAGAGGGTTGCGGAATGGAGTGGGAGAGAACATGATACAAGTTTGACAGCATAGGGTGCAGAGAGGCGGGGGGGGGGGGGGGGGGGGGGGGTTCGGGGGGGGCGCAACCCCCCCGATTGTTTGAAATGCAGGGCGCAATAGAGACAGACAGGAAGGGACATAGCAACGATATATGGCAGGGACCTAGTGACGACGTTCAGGTGATGCTACACTCAGAAGCACCTGGTATGTCTGCACTTGTGAAAGCCGCTCGGACTAGCAAGTTCCTAAGCTTAGGTGCTGCGCGAAAGCACAGGAAGGGCTGTCTCGGGCATAGGGTTTCCAGAGTTGCCCTACTCGTCTCAGATCTGAGTAGGGACTTCACACGTGGGTGTTCGAGGCTCGGGTGGTACTCTAGCACGAAAGGTAGTACTCTGCTGTCGCGCTGCTTACCTTTCTCTGATCATTGCAGTAGTGCGTCCCTGTCACTGTACTGTACCTCGTCGAAGATCCGCTGAATGAAGGTGGAGTGGTAACCGCGAGCTCGCAAGCGCGTTGCAAATGAGGATTTCATCCGTCGGAATCCCTCTTCCGAGGATTCTCTTAGGAGGTAGCGGTACAACTCACCGATGATGAATCCACGCTTGCAGTGTCGCGGGTGTGCCGAGCGGAACGGGAAATACTGGTACACGTTCAGCGGTTTCTGGTATACCGAGGTATCTAGGAAACCGCCTTCCGTGTTTTCCTTCCGCGTCGCTTCCCACTGCGTGCCTTTGGTGAAGGTGATGTCGAGTAGTGTGAAAGTAGTGGTGCTGATTTCAGTGGTAATGCGTATGCCTTCCATGAGGTTGTTGTACGCTTCTATCCATCGATGCAGATCTGCCAGCGATCCGGTCCAGACTATGAGTCCGTCATCGATGTAGCGCTTATGTAGTAGCACATGCTCCGAAAGGGAAGGATATAGCTCCTTCATGCGAGCGTCTAACCAACTCATGAAAAGCACTGCATATATCACCGCTACCGGGGTTCCCATGGCCGTACCACGGATCTGTCTATAGAACCTTCCGTCGAACTGGAGATGATTTTTAGTCATCACGAGCTCGAGCAGCTCACAGCAGGCGCTGAGCTGCTTCGGGGGGCTCGTCTCCGACCAGCCCTGGTAGCCATGCAAGCGCACGAATTTTTCTTTGGTTTCTCGGATGGCAGCGATGCCTTGCTGCAGCGGGATCGATGGGTAGAGACTCTCTACATCGTACGTGAGGAAGATCGCATTTTCGGGTATGGGGAGGGAACGAAGCGTATGTAGGAGGGTGATCGAGTCCGGTAGGTGAGCTGGCGCTAAAGTTAGCAGTGGGCGTAGGTAATAATCCAAAACCTGGCTGGCATGCTCAAACACCCACAGTGTAGACGAGCAGATTGGTCTCCCCTTGACAGGTGTTTTGTGTAGTTTTGGTAGTAAGTAAAACCTGCATACACGAAAATGTCCAGGGTCTGTACCTGTACGCCGCTCGCTGTCTGCGTCTGTGTGTTGCTCGCGGTCTGAGTCTGTGCGTCGCTCAACCCTAGGTTGCAGGATGTATTCAATGGTTTCATTTGGAAACCTGTTCTTGTACCTCGTGCACCACTCGTTGAGGTCTCTACACAGCTCGTCCATGGGTACCGCTGCAACTTCTCTGTAGGTTTTGGTGTCGGATAGCTGTCTGAGTGCTTCTGCTCGGTACCACGAGGTGTCTAGGAGGGCTAGACCTAGATTCTTATCCGCTGGCTTCACCACCACCTGCGAATTCTTACCCAGTCTTTTTAGACACCGTAACGCATGTTCACTTATGTTCCTGCGAGCGGGGCGCGTCATCAGTGGGAGGCGTTCAACGACGTTTCTCTCCACCTCGGCGATGTATCGCTCAACAGGGGGTGTAGCTGGGTTTGGCATCCAGGTCGGGTTGCGAATCCGGAAGCGCGGGGCTGGCCTGTCGGATGAGAACTGCGAGGTCATTCTCACTGCTCTCGTGAATTTTGAGAGTGCACTCATTATGACTTGTTCCGTGGGGGGTGGTGGTGTCGGGATGAACGAGAGTCCTAGGCTTAAGCCCTCAAGCTCCGTTGGTGAGAGGGCTAGTGCGGATCGGTTGTGAATGAATTTGGAATCAAGTTCATCTTGGATTGTGGTTTGAGGTGCTCGGAGAAGGTGCTTCTGGGTCGGGTTCAAAGGATTTGACTTGTAAGTTTTCCGAGGCCTCGAACGGAGTTGCTTATGCTGTCTAGCCGGGCTTACCTGCAGGTTTATGCCGTATGTTGCAACCGGTGGGCTTCGGGGGAGGGGGGCACTCATATTGTTTGGGTGGGGTGTGTTCGTTGAAGGGTGCGTTGGCTGGCAGAATGTGGGTTGTGCTTCCGGGCTGGTGCTGGTTCGTTGGTGGGGGTTGCGCGAGGGTGTCTTACATCTCTTTGGCTGTGGGGCTGGAGTGGGTGGGGACTCTCGTACGTACCTCTGAGTTGTGGTGTCCGCCATGGTTGTTCGGCCACTTGCTGGACGAGGCGTGGTGTTCTGAGGTGTATGGGGAGGAATCAACGGCCTAAAAAAGACATGGGTAGAGTATGGGCAACAGGCATGTAGTTGGGGTTATACGGTACTCCTATTCCATCAGGGGGTCCGACCCATCCCACCGGTTGGGCTGTCTGAGCTCCTCTCGCCACCTGTTGGAAGGTGGGAGCGGGGGGTGCGTATGCATATGTTGCTGGTGCGGGTGTTGATGACATGTCTGACAGATATGAGAGTGCAGGTTGTGCGGGTGCTGATGTGGGCTGGGTATGAACGATGTGCTGCGGAAAGATTAGGGGTTGTGTGTGGTGCATGATGCTGTTGCCTGGTGCCAAGGTGTGATGCAGGGTGGTGAAGGGGTAAGGGTGATAAATGTTGTGAAATGCCGGTGCTGCCATGAAATTGTATGCGGGGGCTGCTGGTGGCATGGAAGCTTGCAAGGCAGGTTGGGCAGGGGTGCTGGGCTGTTGCGTAGCCTGTGCTTGCGTCGCTTGGGTGTGGTCACTCGTGCATTGTGCTGGCTGAGCTGCGTGCTCGGTTGCAGGCTGCTCTCTCTGTGCCGGCTGCCCCTGACCTAGCTGCGTGCTCTCAGGCTGTTCCAACTGAGTGCCTCTTTGCTGCCCTCCCTCTTCCGTGCGCGCTCCCTGTCGTGCATGCTCCTCTGCTCTCTGCAATGTGCTTGCATTTGTGCGCCTTGCTGGCCGGGTGGGCAGTGAGGGGAATTGTGGTGCCATGCGAAGCGCATAGTGCTGCTGAAACGGTGTCGGTATAGCGGTGTGGGCTGTCCCTGTGCGCGGTTGACTGGGTGGATTTACCTTTAGCCCATGCATAGCTACCTTCACCGCCGCCGCAGTCTTGGCGAGTGTTGCGGCTGACTGCGAGGCCCTCGCCGTTGCCTGCAGGTGTCCTCCCCGTCGTATGCCCTCCGCGTGCCGCGAGTTCGTTGCGGGTCTGGCCGCCACTGCTGCCGGCTGCGCCGCTACCCTAGCTGCTGCCGATGCTGCTGCTGCACCAGCTGCTCTCTGTGTGGTGGCTGCACTTGCTGCTGCTGGCTCGGTTGTGGCTGGTGCATTGGCACTAGTTGCAGCCCCTGCCCCTGCTGCTGCCTGTGCCGTCACCGCAGTGGACTCTTGTCCTGCTGCCGCTGTAGCACCTGCTGCCGGCGTGGTTGCTGCTCCCGTTTCACTCCTCTCCCCGGGCTGCCTCCCGTCCTCTCCTCCCCCCTCTGCTAGTGCTGTTGCAGGTGGGACAGCCGCTGCCCCCTCTGTGGTCCCCCCAGTCCGAGGTGCTGCAGTTGCTATGGGTGGCTGGTTGGTGGTTCTGTTTTGTGCTCTGTTTTTCTTTGCCTCACGTCGGCGTTGTGCCTTGCTCTTAACCGTTGGCTGCCCTGATTCTACCGTGGGCCCGCTGACTCTCTGGCGTCGTTCCAGGGCTTGGACTCGCTGCTGCAGTGGGTCTATGCCCTTGATAACCAGGGTGTTGACCAGCGAAACCAGATCGGTAGAAGGGTTTGCTAGGGTCCCCTCTCTCCTCGCCTGCACTGCCCGCTCCTTCTCTCGCCTGGCTGTCACCCTCTCCTTCGAGTTCCGGTTGCCTTTTATCCACACAGCGTGGCACATCAGCTCGCGTGCCATGCCACGGGCTAAGTAGTCCGCAGCCAGCTTCTTAAGATAGGTGTCAGCAGCTGGAGTACCGGGTGTGGTGTGACCGTTGAGGAGGTGAGGGTTTCCCTCCAAGAATGGCTCAAAACCAGCGTGTGCCCGCTTCTGCCAGAGCTCCAGCGTTGCTTCTCCTACCGCCTTCTCTCTCTCTTTGTAGACCAGCAGGGTCACATGCGCTTTAGTCTTGAAGCTCTTCATCTGGTCCTCAAGCTCGCGGTTGAGTTGTTCCTGCAAGACGGCGTCGGTGAGTTGGAGCGTCGGAGTTGAGATCCTTAGAGCGTGGGTCACCTCACCCTCCCTGAGCTGCTTCTGGAGCTCCTTCAGGCCGTTCGATACCCTGCTGAAAGAACGAAGACTATCCTGGAACGAGGCCAGCTCCTCCTCGAGTGCTTTGCCCACGGTTTCGCGTAGGGTAGCCGGAGGCAAGCCTGCCGGGGGTTCAGGTGGTGTCTTGTCTAGTAGTAGCGGCTGCAGGTCGTCAAACAGCCGGCTCCATACGGTGGGGAGATCATCGCCTTCCGCCAGCCTATAAGCCGCCCCCAGCCCCCTCAGCCCGAGCTCTTCACCCCGCATAATCGCTGCTGCCGCCTTCTTGATGTCCCTGCGCGTTAGGTTCACCAAGTCGGCGTCTGGGTCTTGATGGCTCCTTGGGCTCATGGGTTGCTCCGCCTCGTCCTCTCCTCCCCATGGATCGAACTCAACAGGGCAGTAGAGAGTCAAGGTTTGTTCTCGGTCGGTTCTGGCAGGCGCGTCCGTGTTGATGTTTTCCGGGTGTTGCTGCGTCTCTGGCTGTGCAAGCGGTGTGTTTGCTGCTGTCCCTTCATCTCTGGCCTGGATCTGTGATGCGTTTGAGTTCGGTAATTGCGTTGCAGGTGTGGTCCCATCGCTACGGTTGACCGGTTGGTTCTGGTCTTGTCGCTTGGCAGGTGGAGGGTGTGCAGTAGGCGCTGCTCCCCTACTCGGCTGCCCCTCAGTGCCTTCACACGCTAGCATGAAGTCTTTGATATAGCTGCTTGTGACGACAAACGCCTCTCCCAGCTTCATATTCATCGCCACCCTCGACCCCGTTGGTACCTCCCTAGCGTTAGCCGCTGCTACTTCAGGTTGCTCCGCTGCCGGTGCCGGGTGTGCAGCGCCTATCTCTTGTGCTTCAGCCCTCTCTGCCTTGTCCTTGCCGGTGGTTTCTAGCGCCGTTGTTGGCTGCGAAGGTGTCGGTACTTGTACGGCTGCATCCTCTCCTGCCCTCCCTACCCCCATCCCTCTCTCCCTCTCCCTGCTTTCCCCTGCTGCAGCGTTGTCTTCCCGCTGTGCCACGTCAGCTGCGTTGGTCTCTGCCATCACCTCCGCATCAGCTCCTCCCGGGTCTCTCGCCGTTAGTAACCCGGGCATTGGGCTGGCGGACGGAGGGGCTTGGCTGGGATCTGCTGGGAAGGGGGGGTTTGCCAGAGGGGCCATGGGGGCTGATGTAGGATGACGTGCAGCTCCGTCCTGTACGAAGAGGCTGCTTGTGCTTCCCACCTGTTGCATCCCTGGCATTGGGCTGGAGGTTGGGGTGGTGTGGGGCATGAGAGTTGCTGCTGCAGCATCATAGACTACCGGTACCGCTTCTGCATCGTCCGTGGCTGCTGTCCCCGTTGTGTTGGCTGCTGTAGGTGATCCATCCGCTGCTGGTGTCTCTGTTGCGTTGCTTGCTGCCGGTGTCGCTCCTGTGCTGGTTGCCGTTGGTGCCACTGCTGCGTCGACTGTTGCAACCATAACTGCTGCCCTGGCTGCTGCTGGGGGAATTCCTGGCATTGGGCTGAAGGGTGGGGTGGTGTGTAACGGGAGTGCTGCTGTTGCATCAACTGCTGCCAGTGCCGTTACTGCACCGTCCGTTACTGGTGCCCCTGCCGTGTTGGCTGCTGCTGGTGTAGCTGCCGCGTCAGCTATTGCTTCTGTCACAACTGCTTCCGGTGCCACTGCTGCACGGTATAATGCGTGCCACGGGGGGGATCCAGCCGGGGAGAATGTCCGGAGCATAGTGGTTGCTCCGCTGAGAAGGTCCGTGTAGACCTCGTACCAGTTGTCAGGCGTTCTCTGGTTGGAAGAGCTGTGTGGCTGGCTGTGTTCCGGTGTAGTCCGGGGCGCTCCTGCTGTCGTGCCTGAGCCTGACGGCTCTGATTGACCCACAGGTACAGCTCCTGTTGCATCCAGCGCCTTCACGCCCATTCTCGGAGGCTCAGGTGTTGCTGCGAGTGCCGATGAATCTGCCACGCCCGCTACTCCGCCTTCGTCACACTCTCCGGCTTCAACGCTTGCTGTCACTCCCTTCTTCTTCCCTGCTGCTGGCCCTCCGTCCTGCAGCGTCGAGCCTCCTGCTGCCGCGTCTGGGCACGCCGGCGTTGCTGAGTGCGTGGGCAGTGCTGCAGCAGTCGTTGCTGTTGCACCTGTGGCTGAGGGTGTTGCTGCGGGTGAGGCTGCTGGCGCTCTTACTGGTACGGCTGACGGTGGCGGTGTCACTGCTGCCATGGTAACTGTTTCAGTGACGTTCGTGTTTGCCTTGGTATTCGACTGCGCAGCTCGTGGTGGCGTCAGCATCTGGGCAGGTGTAGCCGTGGGCGCGTCTGTTCCGCCGTCTGCTCCCCTTCCCGTGTCCCCTCCCGCCATTGCGGAATCGTCTCCGCCTTCCTCTGAGTTGGCGGAGTGAGCAGCGGGAGTGGAGAGCGGGGAATCCCCTGCTCCGTTTGAAGCAGCCCTCTCCCCTTCCGAATATTCTTCTCCAGCCCCTGACGTCCCCGCGTTTGCCGTTTCCTGTGATGCTGCTGCTCTGAATCTGACGCCGAGGCGCCTTCTGACTGTGCTGAGTTGGTAGTGAGTGTGGCGGCTATTTCTAGCAGTTCGCGATCTCGTGCCTAGAAAAACCGTCATACTAGTAGCCGGCCTCCGACTTCTTCGCTCGATCTGCAGTTCGTCGAGCGGCCTAGTTTAGGGTTTGATTCATATAAAAAAGCCTAGCTGCAGCTACTAGTTTAACCCAGTTTAAGCTGGGCGGTTTTGCTATGGCGGCTACTAAGTAGCGTGAGAGGAGGAGGAGGAGGAGGTAAGTGACGGGTGGGTTGGATGGGTGGGGTGGCGAAAAATTGAAACCGAGGCGCGCATTTGACGCGCGCGCCTCGGCGGTCAAGAATCGAGAAATTGGGGGGCGAAAAAAAATAGAGTTGACTTGGCGAGAAAAAAAATTTCTCGCCAAGGAATGACTTGTGAATCAAGAAAACAGGAATGAAATGACTAAGTGAAAGTTGGGTACAAAAGGCAAACCCTAGGCAACTGTACCCCATATGTGCTACCCCACTATAGCCTACAGTAGCTATGTCATATAACTCTGACACACCCCCATAGGCAAAGTGGGGGAGAACAAGGGGTCACAAGACCAGTCAAGCAAAGCAAAGCAAGCTCAGGGTGGATCACAAAGTCACCACACATTCCGAGCACAAGTTCAAGGCCACAAGGCCAGTTCACATGCAGGATTACATATATATATAAGGCTAGACAAGCAAGAGCAGGAGTATATATATATGCAACAGTACAAACAAGGTCAAGAGGTGAGCAAGTGAGGCAAGGTAGGTACAAGACCCAGCTGAGTACAGAAGCGCTGATGATCACAAGGCGCAAGTGCCTTGGTGAAGATATCAGCAGTGTTGGCCTCAGAGGCCACGTACGCAAGTCGCAGCTGACCACGCTGCTGTAGCTCACGAGCAAGGAAGTAGCGAAGAGCAATGTGCTTCGTTCTGTGCTCCAGTCTCTGCTCTCGACACAAGGCCAGCATGGCCTTGTTGTCTACGTAGAGCACTGGAGGAGAACGAGGCGGCTCTCCGAGGTCAGTCAGCAGGTAGGTGAGCCAGCGAAGCTCCTGTGCAGCCATGGCCCCGGCGTAGATCTCAGCCTCACAACTGGAGCCGAGAACAGAAGACGAGCGAGTAGCCCGCCACGAAACAGAGCCGGAACCAAGGCTGAAGGTGTAACCCTGTGACGACCGCTGCGTAGCCTGGTCGTCAGCCCAAGAAGCGTCTGCGTGTCCAGTGAGGACCACTGGACTCTGCCCTCCAAGCACAAGCCCCATGCCCGACGTACTGCACAAGTAGCGCAACACCCTCTTCGCTGCAGCCATGTGCTCCGGTATGTGTCTCCCAGGAGCAACATAGCGTGCAAGAATGCTAAGAGAGTATGCAAGGTCAGGTCGTGTGCAGGTCATCAGGTACATGAGGCAGCCAACAAGCTCTGGGTACGGGCCACTCGACTCTACGGACTCATCCGAAGGCAGAGCTGAGAGCGAGTGGCGAGTAGGCAGAGGAGTGGCCTGAGGCGAGGAGTACGTGAAGCCGAAGCGCTGAAGGACCTGCTGCACCATGTGTGACTGAGTCAGGGTAATGGTGCGGCGTGCTCTGTCCCGGGTGATCTGCAAGCCAAGGTAGCTGCGCAGTTCACCCAGGTCTGTGCACGTGTGTCTCTTCTGCAGCTCGGACTTCACGTGGGCGAGTCCAGCAGTGTCAGCTGTGGCAAAGACCAAGTCGTCGACGTACACGAGGATGTAGAACGGCTGCAAAGAAGTGTTGGTGCGCAGAAACAGCGACGGGTCGGCAGTAGAGGGAGCAAACCCAAGAGCCGCAAGTGTAGTCCTCAGTGTGTCATGCCACTCACGCGGTGCCTGGCGGAGACCGTAGACTGGCCGCCGGAGGCTCCACTGGGTGCCAGGAGGAAAAGACCCAGTGAAGCCAGGTGGGCGACGCAGCCAGATCTCCTCGTGCAGGCTGCCCTGCAAGAAAGCAGTGCTGAAGTCAAGAGAGTGCAGCTCGTAGTCGCGGTGAGCAGCTATGTGCAGCAGTACCCGAAGAGTGGTCATCTTCGGGGTGGGAGAGAAGGTCTGAAAGTAGTCAACTCCCTGCCGCTGACTGAAGCCACGAGCCACGTAACGCGCCTTGAAGACAGGCGGAGAACCCGGCGGCCGCTTCACCCTGAAAATCCACATGCCACTGACGATGTTCGCCCCAGGCGGGGGAACCTCGTCAACGTAGGTGCCTGTGGACTTCCAGGAAGCCATCTCTGCGTCCATAGCTGCCTGCCACTGAGAGGAGTAGGGACCCTCTATCGCCTCCGCGTAAGAGCGCGGAGTCGGGATGTCAAGTGCATCCGGGTCTCCCTCAGGGGTAAGCAGTACGGACACGAGATGAGGTGAAGCAGCAGCCAAACACTGGAACTCCTCCTGCCTGTCCTCAAGGACGTCCGTGCCAAGGGCACACTCACCCCCGACGGACGGAGGACAGACAGACTCAGACTCAGCAACAAGACTAGCAGCGTAGTCTAGACGACAGCGAGCAGCAAAGTCGACGAGCTCAGTAACTAGGGCAGACGCAGCAGTGGACTCAAAGGAAGGGTCAGTGACAACAGTAGCAAGGAGACGCGTGACAGTAGGACTGGCAGCACGAAGAGAGTCCGACTCCGGGTCAGGAAGAGCAGGAAGAGAGGACTCAGGAGGAGAAGGCAAAGGGGCACGCAGAGGAGCAGTGGACGGACGCAGAGACATCCGGTGCGTGCCAGGGACAGGAGGAGGACGCTGACGCGAACCACGAGCACTAGTGCGAGCAGCACGGACAGGCAACGCAGGGCGAGACGCAGGCTCACGACGCTCAGCAAGACCTCCAGTAGGACCAGTGTAGGGAGAAGGAGCGGGCAGTGGGGAGGCCGGCTGTAACTGTAACTGTGACGGGACAGGCTGTGGACACTCTAAGGGAGGAGGAGGACCAGTAGAAGGCGGGAGACCAAGAACCTGCTGAAGGAGCGGAACGAAGTACGGCCTAGGCCGTGTGGCGACTCCAGACACAGCAGGGACAGCACCAGTACCCCCAGCGGCAGCACCAGCGCCAGCAGTACCTCCAGCTCCAGCACCCCCAGCAGGACCGCCTCCAGGACCGACAGCAGTAGCCTCAGCGCCAACACCCTCAGCAGCTCCAGCTCCAGTCGTACCCGCAGGCCCAGCAGCTCCAGTACTCCCAGTACGAGCACCTCGGTTTAGGGTTTAGGGTTTAGGGTTTAGGGTTTAGGGTTTAGGGTTTAGGGTTTAGGGTTTAGGGTTTAGGGTTTAGGGTTTAGGGTTTAGGGTTTAGGGTTTAGGGTTATGGGTTTAGGGTTTAGGGTTTAGGGTTTAGGGGTTTAGGGTTATGGGTTTAGGGTTTAGGGTTTAGGGTTTAGGGTTTAGGGTTTAGGGTTTAGGGTTTAGGGTTTAGGGTTTAGGGTTTAGGGTTTAGGGTTTAGGGTTTAGGGTTTAGGGTTTAGGGTTTAGGGTTTAGGGTTTAGGGTTTAGGGTTTAGGGTTTAGGGTTTAGGGTTTAGGGTTTAGGGTTTAGGGTTTAGGGTTTAGGGTTTAGGGTTTAGGGTTTAGGGTTTAGGGTTTAGGGTTTAGGGTTTAGGGTTTAGGGTTTAGGGTTTAGGGTTTAGGGTTTAGGGTTTAGGGTTTAGGGTTTAGGGTTTAGGGTTTAGGGTTTAGGGTTTAGGGTTTAGGGTTTAGGGTTTAGGGTTTAGGGTTTAGGGTTTAGGGTTTAGGGTTTAGGGTTTAGGGTTTAGGGTTTAGGGTTTAGGGTTTAGGGTTTAGGGTTTAGGGTTTAGGGTTTAGGGTTTAGGGTTTAGGGTTTAGGGTTTAGGGTTTAGGGTTTAGGGTTTAGGGTTTAGGGTTTAGGGTTTAGGGTTTAGGGTTTAGGGTTTAGGGTTTAGGGTTTAGGGTTTAGGGTTTAGGGTTTAGGGTTTAGGGTTTAGGGTTTAGGGTTTAGGGTTTAGGGTTTAGGGTTTAGGGTTTAGGGTTTAGGGTTTAGGGTTTAGGGTTTAGGGTTTAGGGTTTAGGGTTTAGGGTTTAGGGTTTAGGGTTTAGGGTTTAGGGTTTAGGGTTTAGGGTTTAGGGTTTAGGGTTTAGGGTTTAGGGTTTAGGGTTTAGGGTTTAGGGTTTAGGGTTTAGGGTTTAGGGTTTAGGGTTTAGGGTTTAGGGTTTAGGGTTTAGGGTTTAGGGTTTAGGGTTTAGGGTTTAGGGTTTAGGGTTTAGGGTTTAGGGTTTAGGGTTTAGGGTTTAGGGTTTAGGGTTTAGGGTTTAGGGTTTAGGGTTTAGGGTTTAGGGTTTAGGGTTTAGGGTTTAGGGTTTAGGGTTTAGGGTTTAGGGTTTAGGGTTTAGGGTTTAGGGTTTAGGGTTTAGGGTTTAGGGTTTAGGGTTTAGGGTTTAGGGTTTAGGGTTTAGGGTTTTAGGGTTTAGGGTTTAGGGTTTAGGGTTTAGGGTTTAGGGTTTAGGGTTTAGGGTTTAGGGTTTAGGGTTTAGGGTTTAGGGTTTAGGGTTTAGGGTTTAGGGTTTAGGGTTTAGGGTTTAGGGTTTAGGGTTTAGGGTTTAGGGTTTAGGGTTTAGGGTTTAGGGTTTAGGGTTTAGGGTTTAGGGTTTAGGGTTTAGGGTTTAGGGTTTAGGGTTTAGGGTTTAGGGTTTAGGGTTTAGGGTTTAGGGTTTAGGGTTTAGGGTTTAGGGTTTAGGGTTTAGGGTTTAGGGTTTAGGGTTTAGGGTTTAGGGTTTAGGGTTTAGGGTTTAGGGTTTAGGGTTTAGGGTTTAGGGTTTAGGGTTTAGGGTTTAGGGTTTAGGTTTAGGGTTTAGGGTTTAGGGTTTAGGGTTTAGGTTAGGGTTTAGGGTTTAGGGTTTTAGGGTTTAGGGTTTAGGGTTTTAGGGTTTAGGGTTAGGGTTTAGGGTTTAGGGTTTAGGGTTTAGGTTAGGGTTTAGGGTTTAGGGTTTAGGGTTTAGGGTTTAGGGTTTAGGGTTTAGGGTTTAGGGTTTAGGGTTTAGGGTTTAGGGTTTAGGGTTTAGGGTTTAGGGTTTAGGTTAGGGTTTAGGGTTTAGGGTTTAGGGTTTTA